TAGGGTTAGGGTTAGGGTTAGGGTTAGTCAGAAATAGCTAAACGAGCGAGGTCAAACAGAGGTCAGGGGGACATAGACCCTACGAGCATCACTAGTGTGTGTCTAATCTGACGCAACATAATATAAAGTTCGCGCGAACATCAATTTGCATCATTGTTGGGCTGAATTTGGAATGACAACAGAGAAGATTGAGCGCCAGCCACTTCACTTTATCGTTGTCATCTTTGAAAAATTCTGAATCAAACTTAGTGTACTCGTTTTGGAGTTTTTCCTTAAGATTCCTGTTCTCTGTCAGCAACTGCTGTATCTCGGTCTGCATGGCATTCACAGTGTTTGCAGTCAAGTCCGCCTGAGTAGCTGTTCCTCCGGCTTCTGTAACATTTGTGACTTGCTCTCGATCATGACCCTCGACCATCGCTTCTTCTCCGCCGCGATAATCCTGCAGTTGTAGCATAGTATTGGCCACATCAACGCGTTTCTTTTTTGCATGTCTCTTAACAATACTTTTGTGACATTTGGAGTCTCTTTCTGTTGCAGCTCTGTCCACCTTGCCATGGCCTAGTTCCAAAGTTGGCGCCCAGTCCGGATTGGTGTAATCAAACAGATCTGAAGGTTTTCCTGAAAGAACAAAAATGCCAAAATTATACCAATCTACTCTTGTTGTTGTCTTTCTACTCAAAACCTGACCTTTCGCAGTTTAATTTGCATACGGCAAACCTTGAAAATGTCGTTCCATGTAACTGGATTTTAACTAATTTAACTAATTTTAACTAATTTTACGTTAAGCATCAAACAAGTCGATCTTATTTCGAAAAACTACCTTCCTAGGAAAACCAAAATAACATTCATTAGTCAGCGTACCCATGGCGAAATGATCGGAACATACTATGACGAATGGTAGATTGCTGGGTTTAATCTGCCGGGAGATGAGGGATAGCCATTTTTGTCGTCGTTTGTTTGAAAGTTCTTTAGTTTTATCACATCCTCTCGTTCTGACAGCAGGCAAACGGTAGACGGATTTTTTGTCCCGGGTTCTTCTGGTAGCGCAGCCATAAATAGCACAAAGGTTAACCATGACTGACGGGCAGGGTAATCAATATTCATGTGTCTTACCCTACCCGTCAGTCATGGTTAACTTTTGTGCTATTTATGGATGTGCTAACAGAAGAAACCGGGACAAAAAAAAATCAGGGGAATCAATAGTCATGTCTACAGGCGAAAAAAAAATATCCTAACGCCTATATAATATACCACCGACCTCTCATGCACTCTCCCTCACTCTCCTTTTTTCTCTCTCCCTCCCTTTCTCTCTCCCTCTCCCTCCCACACCGACTTCAATAAATCTAATGTAACATAACGTAGTCGGGAAATCACAACTACACACAGTGAATTCACTGGATTTGTAGTAAAGTTGTAAGAACTCAAGAATGACACATTAAGCCAGAAATAACGTACACTAATATTTAATCAAGATGATTCATGTTTCAGTAATACGATTCTCTCTCCAACCCGATTCAAAGCATTGCCGCTTCTAGCGCAAATCACTATAGCCGCACAACTACACTCGACCGATTAGATCATGCTGTCTATACTGTCTGTTCGCTAAACTACACCATTTCTCCCCCTTCTGAAATCGACACGCGCTCGCTTTTCTATGAGCGCCCGAACTGGTCGTCTCTGCTCCTTTCACGTGACGTAGTTTTACCACTTCATTGGCAAATACGGTGACCAAAACGAGCAGGCGACTTCCCTGCTCTTCGCTCCTTGGATTATAATTTTACTGCGCAGTTCGACACACAAGTGCCTGCATGGCCTCTTACGCCAGGTTATTCTTGACCAGGGATGAGTCATTGCCAACGTGGCAGACACACGTGTAGCGAGTTTCAACACGCATGCGCTCTCCAGTGTATATAGAGCCGTGCTCTAGAAATGTTTTAGCCAGCTTCTCCTTCTCATGTTACTCCGGCTATTATCCCGTCCGCCACTATAGCAAGTCAAGCATTGATACTTTCATATGCAGCAGCTACATTTATGTAAACTGCCTGCTTACAATAATAATACATATTCTGTGTGAGTGGGAAACAATAGCATAAAACGCTGTCCGCTTTACTTTACAACATGTCCTGTATACATGTATCTTGTGAAAAAAAGTGCAACATAACTCTGTATAAAAAAAACATGTACCGAAACATTGTAAATCCTGAGTTGCTACCCGGACACTCAGGATAATTGTAACGGGTAAAGTGGTCAGAAAAAAAAATATTATTCACGTGTCTTGAATCTCGTCGTACCGGTGTTGGGCGGGTCAATGGGATGGGATAGTAATCCAATATGGCTGACCGGTCAGTGCGTGACGTCATCACCTAACAATTCCACGTAATGCTATCCCTACACGTGCTATTCTGCAGCACAATCTCACCGCGCACACGGGAACGTTCTCAGTGTGTTCTAATTATATACTATTATATGTACAATGTCACTTTACATATCACTTTACTCGCACAGAATATGCTGAAGTTTTTTTTGTATATACTTTTTCTTTATGTTGTCTAGCACTGTATCACTCCGAAATTTTATCATTTTAACTGCTCAACACTATTGCATTTATCAGTGTGTTTATATTTATATAAATGTGTGTGTGTGTGCGTGTGTGCGTGTGTGCACTGTGCGTGTGTGCGTGCGCGCGTGTGTGTGTGTGTGTGTGTGTGTGTTGCAGTGTGTATATATATATATGAGTGTGTGTGTAATATGTAATGTAATATGTAATGTATGAATGTGTATATAATGGTATACGTATGTGTTACAGCAAATCCCCACGCTTCATTTAGTCTAATACAGCATCTACGTACGTGCGTGC